GCCATCTCCAAGGTTTGTATTAGGATTGAGTTGACTTTGTCATAGGCAGCAAAAATAACTTTTATTTGGAGATGAAGTTGTCAATTTTGTTTCGGCTTAACAAGTGGTACATGCCAGGTTCTAACCTAAAGAATAATTATGCAAGTTAACTGATTACCCTAGCTTTAAGAAAAACAGACTGGTTTTGGCTCATATTATCTCCTCCTCCTCTCCAGCATGACAACATCCATACCAGACGAGCATGCATCTTGAAGTCTTTGTGCATCCACCTAAACGATAGACTATGAGAAGTTAATAAAGGAGTACTTGGTGAGTCATTGTGACAGCATGTTGATCTGTAACATTCTCATACAAATTGTGACGTTGCCTCAAATGCAAATCATTAAAATTAAAATTTTGAGATTAGCAACAAGACACCTGGTATTGGGGAAAGGATGTCTTGAATACCAAACAGTATTAAGCGTTGCAATAAAGAATTTCTGGAATTTGGTATTGGAAGGAAAGAAATTTATGCATACTTAAACTTGATACACAAACATACAATGCATTTAACATGCATCAAGACAATATTGCTTTTGAATCTGTACTTGGATTAAAACAAGTCCTGTTGTTTTTTCATTGCTATGGTCATCAGTATTTGTAAATAGAAATGTCTATGAACTTTGAGCTGTTTAGTACTAACACTTCTATACCTGTTTTATTTTAGCAGCTGAGTTAGCCTTTTCTCGAGTCCTGTCCCCCTAAGTTACTCTTGCTACGTCCGACAAACAAATGGTTCCCTCTGCGCACCAACGGGTACCCAATGTGCGAGCAGACATGCTTCATAATGTTCGGTACATTTACCTGGGAGTGGGGCCATACACACTGTTTAATCCATTCACGTTGTTTTTGACTTTGTGAATGGAAAGAACACAACTCCTCCAGACACAATCTCTCGGCGTATCGGTGGGCACACCGCTTCTCCATCTTGCTTGAGGTTAATGTTTGTCAGACACAGTAACGGTTGCTATAATGTGTAATTGGACAATGGCCCTTTCGGGGGAGGGGCCGGTGAGAGGTCAATTATGCCACCTCTTTTGACATGAGAGGTGTATTTTATAATTTATGTATTGGAGTAATTACTAACAACTACTTTAGTGGTGTAATTTTCTGTTTATTACTTTGACTACTTGGATTTTATGAACAGCATAGAAACAGTTGTTTAAACAATCTCTTAAATTTTACTTTGTTGTCTTATATTTTTTCATGTAGGATACGGACAGCGAGGCAAAAAGCTGCATGGAGCAAACTGTGATGGGGGTGTACGTCATCCAGAAGGAGGGTGCTGAACCTGAAGATGACCCAGAGGACGTTGGTGTCCTGATTGAGGGTGTGGAGGCTAACACTGATTTGGGTAACATTGCACAAGCATGTGCTCTGTTGTTTGGACTCATATACTGTTTGAACCTGAGCTACCCACCAGAACTTAAATGTACCTTTGAAGTCCTCCAGAAGATATTTTTAAATCTTGATGGACAAAAGCTCTCTTAAAAGGTACAGTTTCTGAAAAACAAGCTTATGGGGTGAGAGCACTTGAAAATGACTGATAGGTCTTGAATGGTTCATTGGTGCAATGGTAATTTCCAATATATAATATTAATATTTGAGTTGTTTATATTTTTTTCTTTCATTTAAAATTTTTTTTTGGGCAATTCACCCTTTATACAGCACTGCAGATGATTTTTGTTTGTCCTTATATAGATGGCTCAAAATGGATCAGAAGTACTGACAGAAGTACTATGTTGTGTTTATGTGTCAGTGGCCTGTAAAGTTTGAGACCACTGCCACCTGTTAAGTTCACTGCATTATTGTGTCCATTTTGCTTGCTAGCATGTTTTAAAACACAGCAAAACTATATTGCTAGCTGTGGAGGACTGCAACCAAAATTAAAAAAATAAATACAGAAATATAAACATTGGTCAAACTAATAATTATTTCAATGAGATACACCAAACAAATATAGATTTTCATCACCTATGGATTTTTTTGTTGTTGTTGTATTGTCCCCAAATTATTTCTAATTATTTTTATTTTATTTTTCCAAATTCACACAATTCTATTTTGTCACATGTTTTAACTTGCCAAGTGGGAGATGTATTTTTATCTTTTAGTTTAATTTTTTAAAATACAGTTGATATATTGAGCAAATTTTGCATCTGTTTTTAGTTGTGGAAGCTTTGGTTCCAACATATTACCTATGTAAATAAGTATTCTAACGTTTTACCTTTTGAAGTGGCATAATGCTTGCAGGTGTACAAAAATGGTAAGATTTTATATTGTCCACTAAATCCAGTTAATAAAGATAATGTTATCATAATCTGATTGTGACTTTTTTGTAAAGTAGTGGGTATCTAAATGTTTAACAAATGTAAACAAATCTAATTGAAATAATTTGGTTGAAATGAGTGAAATTATTGCCTTGATTAACAAAGTAGTTGTTGAAACAACAAGATTTAATTCTGTTTTCCTAAACTTTTTAAATTGTGTAGAATGAATTAAAACAAATTTCACTCTACATACTTAAATAAATCACTTCAAATCAATGTAAGTATAGTATGTTGATCCAACGTAATCTGGTTACATTAAACCACCAAATGCTAAATGTGTTGGTTTGACATGATCGAAAAGGGTTTATTGTACTTGGTTAAATTGTGTGCAAAAAGGGTGCCATGATTTAATTGTGTTCATCCAACAACAGATTTTTTTGAGTGCAGGATAGCAAACTTTTTCTTTAATTCCAAGCCCCACTGTGGGCTGTGGAGCTCCATGTTTGACACGGACACACAGGTCAGAGCGGCTGCTGCCCTCTTTAATGCTTCTTATTTGGACTGTTTCACACATCAGTGTCAGAACTCCAGAAATAGTCAAGCAACTTCAAGAAGTCCAGATGCTTTTCTTTATTTCCAAGCTTCCAAGGTTATGTCAGATCTCAGATTTATGAAGGTTATGACTTAAATGAAAGTTAATGACAGGTTATGATATTACTGTAATTTGTTAAGGCTATGCCATAACTCTCATTATGTTTATGTATCTAATTAATAAATATTTAGTTATTATTAATCTGTGGCAGATCTTGTTACTGCCACATGAATCAGATTTTAACAGGATGTGTTTAAATCTCTCACCAACATAAAGGCTAAAGCTTTGAATTATAATAATATAATATAATAATAAGTACAATAATCATTTTTATAAAGCATATTTTAAATAGAAACACTTTTATAATTTCACTTCCTGCATGAAGGTGATCACAGCTCCATGAACTATTCCCACAAACATCACTGAGCCTCAGACTTTCTTTAACAGGCCTGTCAGACCACAATGATCCAGCTGTTTGTGTTCATGTGCCGCATTTATACGTTTCATTTCAAATCTACTTCACATTTTATTATCTGATATCTGCGACACACGGAGACTTCCTGTTAAACAGAAAGTAAACTTTGTGCGTGGGCGTGTTTGGAGCTGCAGGTGTGTCCAGCTGTGGGTTCGTTGGGTCAGCAGAGGATTTAACGGGACTTTGTGTCGGTTTGAGTTGTTTTTAAAGGAGGATGAAGACGCTGGTGGTGTTCCTGCTCCTCATGAACGGTAAGAAAGTCTCTGTTTAACCTGCAGCAGCTCCGCAGACAGTCCTCTGTGACGGAAGTGTTAGTCAGGTGCAGCTCGGCCTCTGACGTCATGGAAATTCACACAGTGTTGGAAATACAGATTTAATGATGAGGCTTTAATAGTAAAAGTATGAGGGAAGGTTAGAAACAGACCAGACTAACAGACTGTGGACTTTGTAGTCACAGATTGGACACTTCCGGTATGGCCGAGCTAGCTAACCATGCTAACGTAGCCTCGTGTCTGCGCTGTTTCCGGTCTGAGCCGAGCTCATTCAGCCCTCTGAGCTCCGCTTCTCCGCGCTAAAAACAGCACAGGTGTGTGTTTACCGCTGTTTATGAGAATAATTTGTTACCTGGAATAGACCCTGTGCACAAGAAAATCGTAACTTCCTGTTTTAAGTCCGGATGTAAGGTTGTACATTTCCGCTAGCTTTATTTTGCAGTCAATTGCTACTGCGAAGGTGGACTCAAAAATCATGTCCAAAATACGAAAACGGAAAGATTACGTTAGGTTACAAAGAGCAGACTGTGGGAACACTCACCATGGCTGTGTCATAAAAAATCTAATGGTCAATTTTGATGTTTGAAGTGCCGTAGATCGATTGTTTGTTTACATCACTCAACATAAGCATGCAGAAGACACATTGTCCACATTCAGAAGCACATCTCTGTATAGTGACAGTTCTTATGATTTAAACAGGCAAATGTCCAGAAAAAAAGGGTCCTAATTTTTGTTAGGACAATATTGGAAAATTCACAATACATCACTTAATAAGACATACTCTGTTGAACAAACTTATCTGCTTGTAGAGATCTGCTGTATTTGGGCTTGACCAACAGAATAGTCAAGTAAGTGACACTTCACCTAAAACAATGACTAAATGGAAAGATGATTTGGCATTTATGGGAAATGGTTCTTAAACCCACGTCTAAGATGGCAGGATCCTTATTTGAGTGCGTGTCAGCAGCCAGAATTAAGGTATGGCACGGTGTCGCTCCCAGCTTCTTAAACTCTGATGGTTACAGCCAGACTAATTAGCCACTGTAGCCATAACTATCACTATAGACCCTGTGCACGAGAAAATGCTAATTTCCTGTTTTAAGACTGGATGTAGAGTACGTGAAGGTGGACTCAAAAATCATGTCCAAAATACAAAAACGGAAAGATCACGTTAGGTTACAAAGAGCAGAAGGTGGGAACACTCACCATGGCTGTGTCATAAAAAAATAAAATAAACAAAATGATCAGTTTTGACGTTTGAAGAGTGTAGATCAAACTGCATTACAAAATCAGAAGACACATCGTCTACATTCAGAAGCACATCTCTGTATAGTGTATAGTTCTTATGATTTAAACAGGCAAATGTTCAGCATTCAAACTACAGGTGAACAATAGTCAAAGCCAGATGTTTCCCCCGTTATGTCGATATCAGCTAGTCAAGAACACACCTACACAGCATGTCAACAAACCGTGAAAAAAAGCCACAGGATATAAAAACATACATGAGTGATTGGGGGTAAGGGTCTCTATATGTTAGTATTTACGAAGGGTATGTTGTGACTTACCTTCATAATTACAGTGGTCCCTCGCTATAACGCGGTTCACCTTTTGCAGCCTCGCTGTTTCGCAGATTCTTTTAGTGCAATTTTGCATGCTTTTTGTTTTTGTTTGTTTCTTTTAAAAGTGCATTGTGTTCTGCGTCCTGATTGGCTGTAGGGACGCAGAACACAATGTCGATCTCCTCCGTGCCGTGCTCTCCTGTACAGTACAGAATCGCTACATCGATCACTAGCAGTGTGACTGCTGTACTGTATGTTTGTAAGTTTTCTCCCCAACAAACAACAATATCGACGAAACATTTTGCACCGGCAAAAGCTTCTGCGGTATCACCCAAAAGGCAGAGGAAGATCCTAACCAAAAAGTCGGACATCTGAACATGCTAAAGGAAGGTAGACGTTACCATATATTTTTTAACCATACTGCACACCGGATTATAAGGTGCATTAAGCTTAAATTAAGCAATTAATCTTAAAGTTAAATTCATTAGTTCTAAAATCTGTCACTATAATTCATAGAAAAACAAATATACTGTAGGTTTATTGAAACCTACAGTATATTTGATCAAAACAGGTATTGATCTTTGGTTTCATTCTATAATGGACTTTTCTCTTTGTTTATGAAGGTTTGAACTTGAACAAGAGAGAAAAGTGTGAAGATGTTCATGCCTGTCTGAGAAAAGTGTATAAAGTGTGTAGTGACGGGTTTTACAGCCTTAAAACATCTAAAATAATTGTAAAAAAATAAAGCTGGGTTCTTCGCAGATTTCACCTATCGCTGGTTATTTTTAAAACATAACATCCGCGATAAACGAGGGAACTCTATACTGAGAAATTTCAATCCCTTCTCTCTTTTGCTCTGAGGCGCGAGGGAAAAATATCGACAAGTCCACCAACATCATCTATTCGGCAAATGCCCAAGACATCTTGAGAAATGTAAATTGCCGCTTGATTCATTCATTTGGTTGACTTTTTAAAGATGCAAATATCACACCGGAAACAAAGCACTCCTACAGGAGTTTCCCCGCCGGAAGTAGCATATGCTAAGGTGCACATAGTCTATTCAGTCTGCCCATATGGAAAAGAAATAGTAAAAACTTATATGTGGTTACTCATGAAAGTGGCCACTTTCTCATTACTTTCATATATTGTTTTAGTAAGTATCTAAAACATACAAGTTTCATTATATAATTTTTCAAGGGATCTTATATCTGTTTTTACTTTTGTATGCTTTTCATACAAGTTTCACACAAGACAGATACAAACTTTATAAGATTTATATACATCTTTTCCATATGGGTGTGCTGCTCAGAGATCAGAGTTCATGTTCAGTAACCACACTGACAGCAAGAGGAGGAAACGATTGGTTTAATTTAACAGAACAGTCTGAGCTGTGGATTAAAACAATAAAAATATATAAGTGAGTCTCACATCAAACACAGACCAGAGCATTAAGTGTAATAAGAAGCAGGTGAAGGTTGAAAAACATGAGTGTGAGGGTCCCTCACTTGTGCACGCTTGGACAGGTAAACACATCAGGAGATGAGGAGAGTTGGCAAAGTACAGACATTCAGTACTTAAGTACAACTACAAATACTACTATTAGAAATACTCCAGTAAAGCTAAAGAACTGTTTCCACTTCTTTACTCTAGTAAAAGTCAAAAAGTAGAGGCTCTGAAATGTAATCAGAGTAAGAAAGTAAAAACAGCTCTTTGGAGGACGTTTGTGCAAAGCTAACTGAACCTCGTGCTTTATTAACATAATAATAAAATAATGTTTGTAGATGGGAAACAAACTTTATTTTTTTTATTCGAATCATACCTGGCTTGAATAAGTAGAAAACAAAAGAAAATAAAACTATATTTCTATTTCCTGTTGCTACATTGTAGAGGGTGACTTTGCCTCTAAACAGTAAAATGTGTACAGTCAGTGGTTAAAGTGGATTCAGCAGGTGGAGGAACTTTAAAACTGGTTGTAATGTCTCAGTGTGGGGAAAAGAATCAGACTTACAATAATTTCTATTCAGAGCTCCAGAAGATTTCCTTAGTGTACAGGCTGGTATCAGCTGACCTGATGCTCTTTGTACAAAACTGAATTCAACCAGATGTGAGCAGATGTTTCATGAGTTGTCCTGGCTGATTTCATTCTCTACACTGACAGTACACTGTTTATTCTGTCTGTTTACTAGATGGTATAAAGTTGGTATGAAGGTGGAATTCAGTCAGTGAATCTCAGCATCATCAACTAAAGTTCAAATGAATCTCTGCTACACTTGATGTAAGCTAACTTTGACTATGAATCCACAGCCACGGTGGATCAGTCACACACTGTTCTTTACTTTAAATCCATCACAGCACAGCAAACTAACCTGCTTATCCTGCACTTTTCAGTGAGTCACATTTAGTGTGAGCAGCCAAACATGATGGCAGACTGCCACAGATCACTGCTGAGGAAAGAGGAGGCGTTCAGCTTCCTCATAGTT